GGTTCAGTTATGATAAATTGATGTATTTCATAGACTGATTTGATGTTGCATGCTAGTGATGTGCGTGCATATGCATTGTTTTGGTGAAGTTAATTCCCATTGTGTGGAATTTTACTTGTATTGCCGTTAACGGATACCCGGGTGATGATGGGTGGTTAGGATGGATTCGTGTCTGGGTGTTTATGGACGAATCGATGGTTGCTGTATCCGATTGATGATGGATCAGTGTTGGGTGACTTGGTCACGTGTTAGTACCACATGCATTGTGTCTGCATTTGTGTTTGCATGGAATTGTAACATGTTAGGTTGTCTTCCAGTGTTACAATTCTTTGGTTGATTATTGATTTGTGCATAATGACTTGTATGATTGGAACTGCGTGTTGAATCTGAATTTATGCTAAAATGGGTGAAATAATATGCTTGTGATATAATGTTGATTGAGAAGCTTATAATGAATGTTAATTATGAGAAATCTCACCCTTACTTTAACAATTTCAGATTAAAGTTAGCAGCTCAGGAGTTGGTGAGGATGGCTCTAGAGCTATGTTACTTTAAGTCTGCGTGTCAGTGTCGTGCTCTGATAGGTTGTAACACTGGGGAACGTTTAGTTGAGGAATTAGTTATTATTCAATTGTTTCTTTGAATTTCATTGGGAATAATTATGTTTTGGTTTATTCCGTTTTGGTTATGGTATTTTTCCGCTGTGTAAGACATGGTCTTAAGTTGATTGAATTATTTGAATAATGACCCTCAGTGTAGCATGACTACTGTTTTATTGGAAGTTTTATTTATTTCATAATTGTGACATCCCTTGTTCCGTGTTAACTCTGATAGAATATGTCTTTAATCATTGATATAATTAATATTATTCGGGGTATTTTAGAAGGGGTGTTACATGTGGGGTGCTAACACCTTCCCCTCGCGTAACAAACTCTCTTACCCGATCTCTTGGTCGAAAGACCGTTATTTCTCCCTTTTCAGGTTTTCTCGATGTTTACCTTTCCCTTTCGGCGGGATAAAAGACGTTCGGTGGCGACTTCATTGATGTTTCATTAACATCCAGATGACAGATTTCGGCCGCGCGGTTTCATAGAAGAGGCTATCCTAAAGCATAAGGTAAAAGCTAAGGATAAGGACCATCTAACCAACAAGAAGCCAAAACTTGACATTATGAGCAAAGATAGAATTCTCATTCTTTGGATTGGAACCAAGCAAGCAAAGATACTAGACCTCTTGAGAGAACCAAACATCAAGTGTATTAAGTCTTCACAAAAATTGGACAGAGTAACGGTTGTATGCGGGTGAATTCCAGATTACAAACAAAGGATGTAATCACCAAAAACCTTCACACAAAAACAAACAAGCAACCCAATGTCTTGAGGTAAACCTCAAGAACTCCAGACAAAATAATCAGAAAAGATCACAAGGTCTCCAAGATAGGTCAAGGTTTCTAATCCTAAGTCTAAGAAAAAGTCCACTGCTTCATCATGCCAAGGATAGTAACCAAATAGTCCAAGTACCACTAAGAGTTTTTTAGGGTTTAAGTTGGTTATTAAGTATCTTAGAAAAAAGAAAAATAAAAGCTCAAGTGAGCAAAGTAAAAATGACAAGAAAATAAATGCTCAAATGAGCAAAGATAAAAATGGCATGAAATGTAAAATGCTAAAAAATAAATAGTGCATAAAGTATAAAAGAATAAAAGAATAAAATAAAACAAGTCAATAATTAGTGGTTAGTTGGATGACCATCATGAAACTTGTATTTGGAACTCATTAGAGGATTGGTAGAACCAAAGTCTCTACACAACAAGTTGCATTTGCTTTTTGTCAAGTATATCATCCATTTGGAATTCTCAAAAGTACCATTTAATGATCAACGATGTTTAAGTGATCCGCGTTGACTAAAGGTGTTGTAGATCCATTAGAGGATTGGTAGAACCAAAGCCTCCACACAATGAATCTCAAGGTTATTGGATCAAAGAGATCAAGTTAACATACTTGGGCTTGCAATCATAAGTTTGAGCCACGAATGATCATTTATTCGAATCGGGACAAAATTTAGCGCTATGTTAAAAAATCGTAAGTGGACTTATATAGAAGTCGCACCTATTTTGAGACCGGTCAATAGCAATCTATGCATCATTTTTTTTTGAGACATGACATAGAGATCATGCTCCAAAAACATTTAGTGCAATAAGAAGGGGATGAGATGAATAGGAATTAGGGTAAAAAAAAAACCACATTTGAATTAATTTTTAATCAAACTATTATTAAAATCATTCATCCATTTTTTGTGGAGTTAATATATATATATATATATATATATATATATATATATATATATATATATATATATATATATATATATATATATATATATATATATATATATATATATATATATATATATATATATATATATATATATATATATTAAAGGATTAAAAATGTTAAAATAAACTAGAAAATAATGAGGAAAATATCAATTATGTTCAAATTATTCAAGAAATGAAAAATTAAACCATAGAAAAATCAGAAATGGATCTAAATATTTTTATAAAAATTTTAGTAATTTTTTAAAAGTCAGAAACTATTTTTAAACCATTTAAAATTGCTAAGACAAACATAAAATAGATCAAAAATAGTAAACCTCAACATAAATTTCCAGAAATCCTCTTTAATTTCAATCACATCATTGCAAGCTTCTCCATTCAAACGAAGAACATCGCAATTAGGCACGAAGAGGATTTGATGTGAGAAATGAAGAACCAGTTTGTTCATCTGAAGCGCTTAGAACGAGATTGAAGATGACTAATGAACAAGTGAAGTTTTGTTTAAGGTGTGTTTTTTGTCTCCTTTGAAATGTTTTGCTTATTACGACAGTTCACACTTGTTATATATTGCATTGTGTGGTCCACCATGCTTATTTGTGTTGTTTGTGGTCCACCAAATTTATTTGTGTCTGTTTGTTGTTCACCGTGTTTATTTGTGTTTGTTTGTGGTTTAACTTATTAAATTCGTATTTCAATATTATTAATTCTCAGGTCAAGTCAGGAGACTAAAGTTTGGTTAAGACTCCACCATAGGGGTAGATTTGTAAGTGAACATGTTAAGTTGTATGTTGGTGGAGAGGTAACTGAGATGGATTGGAAGTGAGATATTGATTTTATGTCATACATGGATCTGGAGGAATTGATTAAAAGCCAGGGTTATGTAGACATTAATAATTTATGGTATAGGAATCTTATATTCAACTTTACTTGTGTTCTTAAGTCATTAAACAATGATAAAGATATGCCCCAGTTTGCTAAAGATGTTATAGGCCACGAGGTGATAGATGTTTATGTTTAGCACATAGTGTTTGTACCCCCCTGAGATTTGGATCCAAGTGAGTTAGATGATATTATTGAATGATGATGATGTAGAATGTATTGGTGTGAATGTGCCTAATGGTGCACTTAGTAGTGATCAATCTGAAGTGAGTGAGTCTAACTGTGAAGATGGTAATGACCAACCTGAAGTGAGTTTGTCTAATTATGAAGATAGTAATGACCAACCTGAAGTGAATGCGCCTAATTATGAAGATGGTAATGACCAACGTGAAGTGAATGAGCGTAACTTTGAAGATGGACTTAGTGAAAATTAATTAATTTTGTGAGGATAATGAAGAATGTGAGGGGATTGGTTGGATCAAAGTTCTACCTCCTGAAACATTAGATGAGGTATCATAATTTAAAAAAGTTTTTTAAAAATAAAAAATGATTTTTAATATTTAAAATTAAATTCTAAAAAAAATTAACTATATCTGATGTGACTGCTCTGTTCACTTGCTATGTCATTAATGAAACAATCAGATGGTAGGGACCTTGAAAATCTCAAATGAGATAAAGTTTAAGGATTTTAAAAGATGACCTATTTTAAAATAGGAAGTCTTTTTTTCTTCTTTATATTGTTCATAGGAGTGTTAAATTGTATTGTTCATCCCATATTAAAAATGTTAATCTGCACTTAATTATTAGATATTGGTTAAACTTCTCACGTTTCCTGCCCGTTCTCTAGGAGGTGAAGCACTTCAGATGCCTCTTGCTTCTCTTAGAAAGGATGTACTATTCTTGTTTCTGTAATCTTCATTCAAAGAATATATATATATATAGTTACAAGTTAATTAGTATTAGTTAAAAGTTGATTAGGTTAGTTAGATACACTATATAAAGTGTGTCTTACACTTATTGCAATCAAGTTTTTTTCCTCATCTTGCTTATAACAAAAACTTCTCTCATTCATTCAATTCTAAAGTTCATTTTTCTATTTGTTGAAGTCTACCATAATTTTCAACACAAGGTAGGATCTGTAAACACTATAAATAATCACCATTGTTTCAAATTATAAATGAATTTTTTTTACCTTGATTCTTCATATCCACCACAAAGAAAATGCTGCTTATATTTAACCAATTAAAAACAAAACAAAAAACTATAAGTATTCAGAAAACATGAGAAGTCTCTTCAACATCACATCTACAGACACATTCTTTTTAAAGTTTACTACATGCAATGTTGTCCTTTAACAGCGGTTTATCATTATTTGTTGATTTAGATCTATTTATTTAGTGTGTGTGATAGGATTGGGTGATAATAGATGAAAACTCAACCAGACAGTAAGCAGAACACATCAAAGTGGCATTGTCTATGACTTGTGTGATTAAAAGTTAAAACAAACTGCATAGAACAATATCTCTAGTAGAATTATAGGCATGTTCTTCATATGTTTCAAGTAATTTGTACAGGCTCCTAATTCTCAATGATCTATTAACACCAGTTCTAAAATGGATATATCTAAAAATCAAAGTTAAGGTTGGAAAAATGATCCTCGATAGGAGGTGGAATATTTGAGGATGATGATAAGATGAATGCCTCGTGAAAATTAGTAAATTTCCAATACTTGTTGAAGAGTGGCCTTCCATCTATCTTATCCAGAACAATCCGTCTTTTGTTTATGCAATTAGTGAGCCTGTGCTTCTAGAAGGATGTTTGTCGCTACATTCACATCATTTCTGGCCTGCACTAAGGCTTGTCTTGCAGAATTCCTGTCAAATCCCATTGAAACAAGGGTTGCAATTGAGTCTTCCGACGGTTCTACTGCAGAATGCACTGGAGCAGGATAGTTTCTCTGCAAAAAGAAGCCGTATTATTATTACATTGAAGCTAATTATGTACTCTGGCTGTAGAGGTGGATATGGATCGAGTCAAGTCGAGCCACAGGCAAAATTCGTGAGTCAACAAAGTTAGGCAAATCAAACCATAAAAAAAGTCATAAGCATTAAGTAAAACTTGCCTCCATTTGGCGACCTGGGTAGGATGGAACATTGCCCAAGACATTCCTCGTTGGTGTTATGCGTGGACTCCCCATAGATGGCAAGGAAATTCGTGAAAAGAATGATGAAATAAACTCCGGGAACTGTAATGTAAGATCATATAAGAACGTACAGGGAAAAGTAGAGCAAACTAGAAAATGAAAATAACAAACCACAGCCGTCTAAACATAAAAATACCAACTTTCTTCCATGGTTATTAAATTTCATAATAATAATAATAATAGATGATTGAAGGTAATATAAACAATGTAATAGACAACATAGCAGACTTGCTTGTAAACAAGTAGGAAGAACACAATTGAGTCCTATTGATAGCTAGACGCAATTGTAATTATTATAACCATATCTCAAACAAGAACATGATTCCCCAGCTTGCATTTGATTTTATAGCTAAAAGGGAAGCCAGCACCTAGTCTTAAATCTATGTAGTGTCCATGAAGAATGAAGATGAATTTGTGAAGCTACAAAATGCATTGTGAGAATTAATTGTCAAGTGGGTAGGCCGGCAATCAACTAATGCACTCATAACAAGGAAACTTAGCATCTACTAATGTTATCAAAAACAGATTGCAACAAATAGTGGAACACCAAAAATTCGCTATGGGAAATAGCATATAGCGCTTCGGACTCAAATAGGGGATGCCAGTTGAAATAAGTCAATTATATATATATAAAAAAGGCCTGTTGCATACAAATAGTGAAGGGAATGGAGGCAGAGCATAGCTTACATTTTGATAGGTTTACATATAACAGTGAATATACGAGCCGTGCACATTGACTCTTCAGTTTTTCTATTTAAAAAATATGTCCTATCTCATTTTCTTGTGCTCGTTGACTCTTCAGTTTCTCTATTTAAAAAATAGGTCCTATCGCCTTTTTTATTATTATTGCTGCTACATCAGCTAGCAGAAAATGGCCTAATAGCAAAACTAGGATAGCGGCACAGTCTTATAGTGGATTCATCAAAATCCACAATGCTATAGCGCCATAGTTCCACCATCACTGCTACTGCTACATGACAATACTCCACTGATATCTTAAAGATTTCAAATTTGGTTTTACCTCTAAGAAACAATGTTCAGTGGAACTGATTATAAAGTTATGGAGTAATTCTTATTTTAATTTTTGCATGTTAGGCCTTAAAAAGTTCAACAACTACAATTTATTGATCAAATACTTTGCAATTAGCATTCAAGATGCATGATGAGTGCAACTCCATACATGAGGTAGCTTAAATGAATCTAAAAGCACCTATTGCATAATATGTTGATATTGTTTAAGTATGAATATATGTATAAAACTTGATATAGGAAATGACTTGAATCGATTTGACCAGTGAATTATAAGTAATTGATACGCTGATCTTACCAAACTATTTTAGTTCTAACAACCTTCAGTGTGGCATCAAATAGTTGGCCTACGCTTTAGAGTGAAAAATGTTCCATTTTAATCTAAATTTTGAAGTATATCAGTGAATGAATGGAATACAAAATCATCTTGAATTAATATGAAATTATAGATGCTTGACATGAACGAACGAAGCTTCCAACCCAACAGATATGTTTATGAAATATTAATCCTTAGTTGATATTAACTAGCATAAGATTGATTTTGATTTACACTTGTCGACGAATTCTGAGTTCTGACTATACATTTAAAGACGAATATTCCTTTGGGAAAGCTTGTATCCATAAAAACATAGTTGCTAAGAACAAAGATAATAAAACCTCAAACATCAAACATAAAATTACCTTTGCTTTGCGGATATGAAAGACATTCAAACGGTATAAGGAACCAGCAAGGATGCCACACACCCCTGGTAAGATGGACCTTTTCCATGATGACAGTAGAAGCTGCAATAAAATAAATTAGTTTTCATGAGTTGAATAGTTCTGGACATGCCTAAGTTATATAAGCACTCATAAATAAGTTCTACTAACCTGAAGACCAGCTAGATATATGAATGACTTATCTGAGAAGTGGAAACCAAATAAACGGAACCGAGTCGAAACAGGAATGTCAAAGAAAAAGGGTACAAACGAAGCAAATATAAGGCCATAAGGTCCAGGAGTGACTGGGGTTGCTGAAGGATCTGCAAAGAGTGAACGTAAAACATTCAAAATAAGAATAAAACGTTACTGCATTAAAAATAACAAATGGTGATAACTTAAAATATCAAGGTCCAGAAAGCCACATAACTGACTTAATTATAAAATATGGAGCAACAAATTGCTTCATCAAATTAAAAAAAATAAGTATCCCCAGGTTACACCATAAACTATTCCATCTAATTTTTACATATAATATGCATGGGCTATTTGGCACTGTATAATAAGGCAGGTCATTCATATACCATTCAAACTTGTTGATGGAAAGATTTCATCATAAGTTCGGATTCAAATAGAAAAACAAGTTTGCACTTGAAGATTGAAGGTACGACAGGGCTGGGAAGATTTGAAGCTTAAGTTTATAGTACTTGTATCATCACAAAACAAATAACCTTTCATACATTCTGTTGGAATTCCCACCTTCATTGTGGTCTGCCCCTAGTGGCATAAATTGTGGCATTGTGTTGGTTTGATGGAGTGGATTTAGTCTCACATTGCTTCGAGATATGGCATGTGATGTGTTTATGAGTGGGGCAATCCTCATCTTACAATCCGGTTTTTAGGGATGAGTTAGCACCACTATAACCGATATTTTACAATATTTTGTACTAAATAGCATATCACAGAACAATAGCAATTTGTTCAAATTCCGCTTTAGCGATCCGCTATTCAACAACATTGATTTGGTTTTTTACAATATTTTCAACTGTCATATCATTACTGACTTCAGAGCCAGATGAATAACGTTAGCCCTTGCGATAAATGGAGATGCAGCAGTCTAAAGATGATAGTCAGGAGTATGCCTAAGAGTTGTTTTATCTCCAAAATCATCATGTGAAAGACTTTTGGCATAAAGAATACATATGGTATGTATGCACTGCACAATGTGCCTGAATTCAATTTATCAGAGAAAAATTGGAGCTACAAAAAACAAAATCTTGGCCTTTGATCAAACAGGCTGCAGCCGCATGTCAAGAAACTATTAGAATACAACAATAAATAAACAGAAGTACTTTCCCACTGGATCCTGTTGTCTTGTTTGAGCACTCATCCATCATAAAATTTGCATCTTCACAATAAGCTTTGTACTTGCGAGCAATCAGTTCTGTACAACATCTCAGGTCTTAAACTGTAGTCCTATACAGAAGTAATGATTCAATCCCTAGTCATGTGTTTCTCAAACTAGTCATGATCCTATTTACCGTACCTTTGATTGCTTGTATATAATCAATACAAAATCCTTTATTTTTCGGAGCCTTCCATAATACTCTTGGTAGGAAAAGAACAAAGATATAGAACAGAAAAGAGAAAAAAGAAAGAAAGATTTAAAATTCTATTTACTCTCCAATGGAATTTCCCTCCATGCTGTTAATGCAATTTTAGTAAAACTATTCCTGCCATAACTTCTTCTCCCTATTTGCACTTAGTATTTTAAGTATTACAGTTTTCATTCCCCTTCCCTTTCTTTCTGTAGTACACTCTTAACAGCGGTTCCTGGGCCTCTTAATCCCTAACAACAACTTACTCTATGCTAATTACAAATAAGAAAAATAGGGCTTGACCCATGTCAGATAGGTCTTATTTATTTGTCCGATATCTCTATCACTCTTCACGACAAGTAAATTGTATTTGTGGTTAACCTCCACGGTATAAGATCAAATTAAGATTCTGTAGTGTATCTTGTCATAATCTCTACTAATTACCCTTTTCCACAACTTCATAATACAGTTCATGAGATGAATTCCTTATAGTTTGCATAGTTTGGAAGACAAGTTCTTTAAGATATGGATTAAAGTATTTCTACCTCACTCGTCATAAATCATCTTAGACATCAATTTCATTAAACAACTAAATGATATGTGAGTAACCTTACACATTTCTCTCCTCGTCCAATCTATATCTCAAGTATAAAATATAAATAAAATATCTAGTCCAACTACTTGGCAACTGTCTATTCTCTTTGATGCTTCACGTACCCCAGACTCCTGAATCCTAGGATAAAAGGTGTAATGTTAGCCCTCCAATTAACAACCTGTGAAAGTAACTCTTACCCTCTCATTAATATCTTGTTTTGTGCCCAAGATTTTTCCCTCTTTATAAGTTCAAAGTTGTATCGATATTAACATTTCATTTGAAGGGAAGTTTTCCTCATAAACATATAACCATTTATCCTCCCATATGGGTTCCTCACTAATCAGCATTTAAAAAGGCTCGCCAAATGCAAAAACAAAACAAAAAAGACATAAAGAAAAGATCATAAGATGATACCAAGAAAACCCGACACACTAACAGAACATGAGTGATATGTACACCTAAATGTATGAACTAAAATATATGACAATAAAATAGCATGCATATAAAGAGATAGATCAAAGTTTAAGAGGTGAAAGGCATTATAAAGATAAGTGCTGAGAACTGAGAAGAATACCTTTTAAAAATGCCACAGCAAAAACTTCAAACAGTAGTGAAGCCAATACAGAGAACACAATAAACACCTGCATAAAGGGTGCATAAGAGATTTCAAAACCCCATACAAGTTACATTCAAAATAGTAATTACAAACATAAAAGGGACATCACAACAGCTCGAACTTAGTTCTGAAAACATATATAGAGATTGCAATCAAATCTTAAATATAAACTAACAAGTTACTAACCGAGTATTTATTGGAACCAATTTGTCTCTCAAACACCCTGAAGTAATACAGAAGATATAGTCCAAACATCAACTCCGGTGTTGATGTGAAGGAAAATAACGACATAATCAACTTCCAAACACGAAGCTTTCCAAAAATATCCTGCCAAAACCCAAAAAACACAATTCAAATCTACATAGTAAATGCATCATGTTTGAGATTCAGTCCATGGTAACATTATCCCTTACTACAACTGGAAGCGAAAAAGTTACATAAATCCGAAGCTCAAATCCACACCAATTGAAATTTCGCCTAAGATTAACCTAATTATATGAGGGAAAAAAATCAAAAACAATTCAAATCGGTACCTGATACGACAACCCCAGAGTGTTGAAACGACCCTGGATCCCAAAGAAGATTGAGAAAAGCGCTGAAGCGATGATGAAAGCCCTTGTAACAGGAGCATTTGCTGTGAAACAGAATCATAAACAAGCATTTGAATTTGAGTTTGAAAGCGAATCGAAAAACAAATTGAAAAAAAAATGCAAAATTGAACTGAAAATCGGAAATTGACGCACTGAAACCAGATGGGCCTCCGTTCATCTTCGCAGTGAAGCAGAAAGCAAGGAACTTTTCTTCTTCGGAATTTTCTAGGTTTTTTTCCTATTTTCTGTTGAAACTTGCGTCTATTCAATTCCTTTGGTTCTTTCTTTCTAATTTTTGGGTTTTTTTTTTCTGATTTAAGAAAATTACTCTTAGCTTAAATATATACTCTTCTCCTTTCTCTTTTATTAATTTTTTTATATTAAAAAATTATGAAGAACAATAAATATACTTTACATATCTGTTTTTCAATTTTATATGATTAATTATTTGATGTGTGCATAATATGAATGGAAAGAGCCAATGAAAAAAGGACACGTAATATGCGATTGCTTGTTTGGAATCTTCAAAGCTGGACTTTCTAGTTCTAGCTGCCAATAAATGATTTTAATATATGATGACGTGGGTAAGAATAAATAAAGAATTATTTTTTAAAATTATTTTAGGGTATTTTTATTTAAAAATTTAGATAATTTTCATTTTCATTTTGTTCATTTTTATTTAAATTAGGTAAAATTACGTCATTGCCATTAAGAAACTTTTAAAATGGAAATTTATGAACAGTGACTATATAGTATGCAATTCTCTCCCTATATTGAGAAAAATTGATAGAAGCTTTTAACTTTTTATGACATTTCCATATATTTTGAAATATCTCTTCAATTTTCTATCACTCTTACTAACTCAAAATACTTGATAATATTATGAACACAACTTTGATTATTGTGTTAACAATATAAAAGTTAGAACTTTGACATGTACACATAGTTTGGCCATAGATGTAGTTTGTACAACACTTAACCTGTCAACACACTACCAATACATGATACCACTGTCGGAACAAAATTAGAAAGGTCACGGTTTGAAAAGCAGAAAAAATGAAGTTGGTCCACAAAACCAAACAATAACAAATTTGCAACTAAATTTGGTTCATCCTTATAATTTTTGGATAATTTCTCTTTATATTTAGTAGTGGTGATTTTTATCTCTGAAAATTCAAAAATATATTTTATATATATATTTTCGAATACGTAAATTTGAGATATTAGATATCTGAAAGAATTTTTATTTTTCATTTTCAGAGAGATTTCGGATATGAATATCTGAAATAATTCAATATCTCAAATTTCTTTTTATTTTATTTTGATTTTTTTAAAAGATGTTTATTTATAATATAGTTAGACTATAATTAAATTGACTTATTATTAATAAAGAATAATTTAAATTTATAATTGAAAATTAAATATTAAAGTAAAATTATTATATAAAATTAAATAATAAATATAATAATTAAAATTTTAATTATAATGATGAAATGTAATTGTTTTTAAATTTTTTATTTAAAATTATGAATAATTTTTTATAAAAAAATATAAGAAATATTTTTTAATTATAATTTTAAAAGATAAATTTAAGTTAGATGATATTTTTTTAATTATCATCATAAAATTGATAATTAATTAGAAAATATATTATATTAAATAAATATTTTTATGTAAATAAATAATATTCTTCCATTTCTAACATATTAAAAATATATAAAACTTATGTAAATAATTTATATAAATAATTTATGTAAATAATATAATTGATACATCTTATTTTAATTGTTGAAATATTTCATATATGTATATCTAAAAACTCTGAAAGACGAAATATTGAGTTATTTCGAATATGTATATCCGAAAACACTTTTAAAAAACTTAAATTGAGTTATTTCGGATATATATGTATTTGAAAATCCTCTAAAAATAAAATATTAAATTATTTCTGATATGTATATTCAAAAATATTCTTAAAAAATCAAAATTTAATTCGTTCGAATTTGTATTTCCTAACTTTAAAAATATTTTGAATTATTCCTAGAGATTTAAAAAAAGTGTACTAAATATGTAAAAAAAAAATCTCTAATTTCATTCCTATTCAATGGTAAAATATTTGGTTGCATTAAAAACTCATTTTTTTTTGTACTAACTATAGAATTTCCAAGTTCACAACTTACCAATTTTATTCAAAATATTTTTTTCCAAACTATTTGCTTAGTCTATGTGTTATATAGTTTAATTAATTGCTTCTATAATTCATTTCTCTTTCAAAATTTTTATTTATTTTTAGAGGCTCGCAACACGTTATAATTGCAGTAGAAACTTCCTACCCATTTTACTCATATATTAGTTGTTTTAATTTTAATTATTAAACTATATTAATATTCATATAAATTTTCTATTACATAGTTGTTAATACATTTTTTAATCTATTTTAAAAGTATTTTATATTAACATTCACTACTATTTATTACATTTATATAAATAATTAATACTAAAAATATTCTATTATAACAATAATATTTATTCGTGCCGACGCTAGTAAGTACTTAAACAACTTTTACTATATTTTTGCCTTTAAATTATTATCGTTGTTTTGATTGTTAGCGGTGATTGACATTTCTCTATATAGAACAGTAAGCCATTGATGTTTGATTTATAAGATAGAAAAGTTTACACAAACTATTCAAGCTATATCTCGTCTCATTGGTATGCCAAATTGTTGACCTTAAGTTATACATGTTTAACAAATAATCAGGATGATCACTCTAATATATATATATATATATATATATATATATATAAAAGTGATGTTTGATATTTTTGTATAAAAATTAAAGAGTGCGATAATATTGTTATAAAATATTATATATTTTTATTGAATCAATTTTAATAATGTTGTTGAAAATAGTGTACATAATAGTAATAATTAAACAACATATTTGAAAAATTAAATATTAAAATAATGATAATGACATTCAGTTTAAAATAAATTGTACTTATTAAAATGATAGTGGTTTGAAAATGGATGGAGTATATTTAATTTGCTAAGTTGTAATTGTTGTAATAATTCTATAACATAAGGACTAGTATGTTAAAAGTGAGTTAGTGGCTATAGCTGATTAACCAACTAATCCCTCATCTTGTTTATAAGTCCTTTTAGACTTTTCATAAATATTAAAAAAAAAAAAAGTAATCATTGTTGTATGAGAAAGAAAAATTATGAAAGATTTTACAATATTATTTTTTATTAATGGCTTAAAAAGCAAGCAACTCATATAGTTGCGCTAACAATTGATATCTAAGCCTTATTTTCAACATCAAAAGGTTGGTGTTTATCCATAGTGAAACCTAGTGAAATTTGTGTGGAAAACACTTGAGAAACACATAATGATGTGTAACTTGAAGAGTTTCTTGAAATAGAAGCAAGGTGAATCCAAATGGTGGCGTCTCATGGAATATCTTGATTCTTGATGAAAGCAATTGAGATAGATGCAGTGCATTAATAAAATTATTGTTTGGAGTACAAGATGTGCTTGAAATCGTGCAAGAGGGTTATGAAGAACTAAGTATATATCATTGGAGGAATAAAGAGCAATCTTCAAGGAACCTAGGAAGAAAGACTGCAAGGCATTATTTTATATTAAACAAAATGAGGATTTTCACCATTTTGAGAAGATTTTAGAGTAATATAAATTGAAGGAAGCATGAATGTGCTAGAGAAGTATCATTATGGTGGACAAAGGGTGAGACAAGTGAAGTTGCAACCATTAAGAAGGAGGTATTAGCTGGTGCAAATGAAAGTGAACCATTAAATTGGTGATTATTTCTCAAAACTGATTGCAATGGTGAACTAGATGAAGACTTGTAATGAGGGAATCACTTATCTACAAGTGGTTGAGAAAATGATGAGATTTTTCCCTTCAAGATATGATTTCATATTGGTAGAAATATAAGAATCCAAAGATCTCAAGATAATGAAAATAGAGGAAATGCAAAGTTCAATAGAGGCACGAGAACTAATGGTGATTGATATATGAATTGAAGAACAACTCAATAACTATTGAACATACAAGTGATGCAGAAGGATAGAAAATCGACATGGTCACACACATAATGCAGTTGTTTAGTTATTGGCTTGCTTTTTTGGTAAAACCCAAGTGTATGTGTGAATGTCATGACTGATGTCATAACATTCTAGTTTAGTTTGTACTGATTCATTAGGTACCTTTGCAGAAAAATATTGTCATTCAGGTACTGATGTTTATAAGTGTGTATCTGAGCATTTTGCAAAATGATCACATTTTCCTAAATCAGTAGACAGGTTTTTCAGATGTCATAACAGATGTTAAGACATCCTGTTCTGAACTAACAGGTTTGCAGTTTGGTTAATTCTGAGTTTTTTCAGGAAAATGACTCAGTCCTTCCAGAACAGAATCCTGCGTTTTCTTTGGGTTAACCTAGCTCAACCATAACCTGGTTGGTAAAAGTCTTGTGACCTAGTCTTAAGGTCAAATGGAATTAACCCTAGCTTTTTGTGGAAACCCTAACTGAAGATGCAGCTGCTATATATTCAACAGAGCTGCTGTTTTGCAAGTAATCCCTTTTTGGTCAGAAGATCATTTGTAAACTGTATAGGTTTAATTATTGTACTTCAAGCAATTATCATTGTGATAAGTGACTTGGAATAGGTTTTTAATTGTAAGGGTTGTGTAGCACTCAAAGCTTTGAAGCAAGAGTGTTTGTATGTTTCTTGACTAAAGCTGTGAAGCAGAGTCAAGTTAGGTGTGTGCATCACTCAAAGCTGTGAAGCAAGAGTGGTTGTGTTTCTTGATTAAAAAGCTGTGAAGCTTAATCAAGTGTATGTTTTTGAAGAGTGTCTTCATCAATTCATTAGTCAAACTGTTTTATGTATCACTGCTGTGATTGAGGGGGAGTGAGTAGGAACTTAGGTTTAAGTTGTACTTAGATAGAAATTGCATTGGGTAGGTCTTAAGTGAAGGAGATAAACTGGTTGGTTTATTCCTGAATTAACATCTCTTATAGTGGATTTCCTCTCTGGCTTGGTAGCCCCCAGAGTAGGTGTTGTTGCACACTGAACTGGGTAAACAATTGACTGTGTTCTTTACTGTTTTTGTATTTACTGTCTTATAGAAAGTCAGATACGGTGTCATA